GCGCGTGTGTCATGTTAGCGTTCATGATGTTCAGCATCATATCAGTCTATTGTTGATGACATTGTTACATGTTATTGTCTCAGCATTTTGAACCGACAAGTGCACCAGTAACTCCAAATGTATATAATTAACATAAAGCAATAAGGATGCTAGAAATTTTTCCGCACAAATATCAAACGGACCTGCTCCCTGTTGTTAGAACATAGCCCGCATTTGTGACGGAGTTATTCAGAGTTGGTCTTGTAAAACTATTTTAAACAATGGTCCAGTTTTGAAAATGTGTTGCCATAATGCTCACAGTCGGGTGCTAACGCATACCATGATAGCGATCTGAAGCAATGGGATTTTACATGACCTTGATACTTTCCTGAAAGTGAGTGATGCAAACGCTAACAAGCTAACAGGTGCTATGCTAACACATAGCATCATAGCAGCCTGAGCGGATACAGCCCTGAAGCAATCTGAGATGGATTTTACACGATCCGAAAGTGAATAACTCAAATGGTAACATGCTAACGGCTGGTAGGCTAACTCATAATTTTTGAAGTTGGCTCTTGATTGGTTTGTAAAATGGCAACTCATCATTTTCAATGTGCTTCACTGAGAATGTTTGGTGCTCCGTGTTTGAACAACATTGCTGTCGTGACCAAACCGTTTGAGCCGTATCTATTACATTCTGCTATTTGGATGCATTTTATAAATAAAGTACAATACTGCAGAGTGTTCGTTTTCGCAGCACAAATGTTTTTTTGCCTTTTTATTGGGTCTGGAGTGGAGTACATTGGACTTGGTTTGGCACCCGTTTGCTGTTTTTTGAGTTTTTTTCAGTATTTTTAAATTCGACTCGGTTACGTCCATTCATTTCAATGTCAGGGGGAAAGATGAATTGAGACGTGATTGTTTTGAGTTACGAGCATGGGCACGCATCAAATTGAAGTTTTAAGTTAAGGCAGCGTTGAGTGGAGCTATACTGTGAATACCTCAACTTGCGCTGTTGATTCGCACGCCTCCATTCACTCTTTTTGTTATTGCGCTGCTCTCCAAGCATGTCTTTCATCGCCAACTACTGGCCTGGCATGCACATTGCAAGATGTTTGGCTCTTTGAATGACTGAATAAAACCTTGCGTTACAAATATTGACTCAAGGGAATAAAAAGGCAAACAGCTTTTATGTCGTCCAACGAGGCACGCGAACGTCCAAACTCACACGCACGCACGCACGGACGCACGCAAACTCAATGACACGGCACGTTCTCACGCTGTGTCCTGACTCGGCCTCGCTCGCACTCGGGGCGGGGAGGGAACATAAGGATCGCATATGGCTCTGGCGTGCTTCCACACCCACATTCCTCCCGTGTGACGAGCCTCACACTACCGCCCGCCTGTTGCCCGCTCACTCCCTCCAACCCCCCAATTTTTTTTTTTTTTTAAATACTTTGGCAACTGTGCAGCAAAGCCAACACAACGAGCTCTCAAGTGCCCGTTTTTGATTTTCAAACGAGTGGCTTGAGAGCAAAAAGTGCATTTGATATTTTACACTGAAAATTTGCATTTGGAACCTTTTGGTTTTGTGGGAAGCCACCGTAAAATGTATTCTCTGACGGGTGCTCAGAAACTCGCAGAGTTGCTGAACTCGAGGCACAGTTGTTCGCTTTCACTTGATCCTATTTCAGTTGTCTGTTTTATATTTCAGTTTTTTTGTGTTTGTATTTTATGGCTTCAAAATTACTTATAATTGACTTCAATTCATATGACTTTTGTCTTGTGGGGAAACAACAATGCAAACGTGTTGTCGTGCCAGCCCATGCTTACACTTTGAACATTTAATCATATTGTGAAAATGACTTTTTATCATGAACATTGACAAATAGGGTTCATAAAATTTTATTTCTCTGCACAATGACCAGATAATTCTAGTCCTGTGTACCATTGTAAAACTTGAGTGGAAAAAGCAATTCAGTATCAAAATATCAATTTTAGCAACCCAGCTGCCGGATTTTTTCCAGAAAGTTGACGCCATTTTTTTGAGTTGACTTCAATTGAAGAATCTCACGCCTCCATTTGACGCACACCTCTCAACTACTCCCAATGTCACAGCCTGTCAGCCGCTGTCGGCCACGCCCACCTCCGCCAGTCAGATACGAACCGCCCATTTAAGGCTTTGTTGATGACTCGCTCATCGTCAGATTCGTGCAAGCAAGCGACACTCGCTCGCCAATCCCGCAGCCTTCTTGCCTTTCAACCGCCAGTTTGTTTGCCTGTCGCCGTCCGTGGCTGTTGTGGATTCTTCTACAAAGACAGCAAAGTGCGATTTGCGATTTCCTCACGCCCGGCCGGCCGTCTCTCAGTGAAATGTGAATTGAGACAAGACTGAAGTGAGAGCATCTCCGTCCTTCGTGCGCATCACGGCTCCTGACTTGACCTTTGGCCCGAGACAAATTGACAATCTTTCAAAGAATCGCGCCTATTTCGACATTGGAAGTCCCCCCCGCCCCCCCCC